TAAAATATGTTCGCATCTTCCAGCTGAAGCACGATGTATATCCTGGAGTTAAAAGCTAAATGCCAATTTCAGACATGAAAGATCGCTATTTAACATCTTATTGCGTACTATTTCATTTTTGATATTATTCAAAATTTCACGCCAAAAGGATTTTTTCTTTTATATTTTTATTGGCATATTTTACGCAATTATTTTTGCAAGATTCCATTCTGGAGTTGTATGAATTGTGAAAATCCGTCAAAACGTTCTTGAGTTATAAGCATAGTAACTAATAAACAAATTGAAAAAAAATCTTCAACTTGTTCGCTAGTTTTTTTACAGCCAATATTTAAAGGTCCTTACGAAGTTTGGTCCTCACTATTATTTTGAAATTTGATTCCAATGAAAAAATGTTCTCAGTTTTTCCCTATTTTAGAGTTTTTGCAGTGCAATATGCTCTTTTTGATAGATCACGTTAAATTATTTTGACATAATCTATTCAGTTCCGCCACTCCATAATTTTCGGCGCTTTCTACTACCCAAAAAGACTACACATCATATTAGAATTAAAAAAAAAGAAAACACTACAAATGTACATTCCGAAATAGTAAGTCAAAATGGAAAAAATCAAAATGAAAATTTTAAAATTTCACATTTTTACGAAATTTTTTGGATTTTATCCTTTTGTCCAAGAGACAAGAGACTAACGTTTGTAGAAAAAATTATGCAAATCGGTCCAGCCGTTTTTAATTGATTCCATTACCAACAAACAACAATTGATATATATATATATATATATATATATATATATATATATATATATATATATATATATATATATATATATATATATATATATATATATATATATATATATATATATATATATATATTGTTCAGTTATTCGCCACACTAACAAATGTTTGGTAATTATAATTATATATTATAATTGGGCCGTGGTTGGATCCATATGTTTTGCATATGGCAGAAGAATACAGGTAGATGCATCAACGCTTGGGAGCATTGATATGTCAAAAAATGTAAATGTTTTTTCAAATATAAGTAGATTTTTATATGTTTTCTTATACTACGTCATTCGGAGGCTTACTATATTTCGCGTTTTTCAAAAAATTTTACAAATTTAAATATTTTTTCATTCAACATTTTCAATTCCAAAATTGGTTTGACAGTTCATTGTCCCAGCAGCTGTGTCGACGCGTCTGCCTATATTCTTCTACCACGTGTTTTGCAAAAAAGTCGTTTAAAACTTGTATTAAACATGTTGTGTTTTGACCGACTACTTTTTTAAGGACTTTTTCAAATGTTGCTACTGTAGCAAATATGCCACATCCAGCCACATCAACATGTTCAGAGCAAGCATTTTCACATGCTGGGAATTGTGTTAATGCAAAGAGAAGCAGCCTGCATCTCGCAACAATAAAAAAATTGTTTGTTCATGATACCAAGGCTGTCGTTGTCATTTTTATAACCTCCACCATATCCGTCATTCCGTTTGTAACTCATCGAAATAATAATTTTAGACTCAACAAAATATATGTATTCTTGATCACCGTAAAATTCTCAGACGGACGTCCGTCCGGATTTTAGTTTTTTTTTTTTTTTTTTTTTTTTAATTCGTTCCAAAGGCTGGAGGGTATTCAAATTCGGCCCGCCCGAGCTTACTGCTTTTTTACTTGTTTTAAATTAAAGTCGTTGGTTCTAGCCGACTTTTAGACGCTGCCGGTCGTATATTGCTTTAGCCGCCGCCGCTTTTCTTTCGGCTACATTCGACTTTTAGCCGCCGCCGAAAATTTCACTTCGGCTTCGCCCTCTGCTCACATCCTAACAAGAACAAACAGAAATAAGAAATAAATAAAACAGGAAAAAAAAAAACAAAAACTGAAGGCTTCGTTATGTTAATTTAATTAGTAGAAACGGAAAAAAAAGAAGAGGAGAAAAGCTATATAATTGGATATTTTTAATATTTATGAAAATTGTAGGCAAAAATGAAATCATCGAAGCAGCGAATGACGAGCCTAGCAGAAGATATAGGGATACATGAAACTCCCTATCGTGCTAAGCTGCATCATCTTTTCCTTCAAATCGAGAAAGAGTTTGAACTTTTATATTTGGAAAATTTAAGCTGTAAGATACGATATTTTAACTTGCACAGATACATATAATATCTTTGACCTCACAGTGCAAGAAAAGCTGGACGGGTACACCAATAAGGATTCACTTCAATCTTGTGAGAGATCGACTTCGACTAATCCGAGTGGAGCTAATCCGTCCTCAACCATTCCACAACCAACCGCAGTAACAGGTGCTGAGGAAGTAGATACAACGAGCGGAGGACCTGTTGTTTCTGGAAGTAAAAGTTTCAAGTCAAAATTTACTTACAGTGGAGGCAAGGTTAAAGCCAGCCATAAAATCAAAGCGCAAACTAGTCGAATCGTATCTAGCTTTAAAGCTCAGTCCGTAGTAAGCAGTACAGTTATGAGGGAGTTTTGCGGACATAAAGATGGGGTATGGCAAGTAGCAGCAAAAGTAGGTCAGCCTATTATTGGGACAGCTTCGGCAGATCACACAGCTTGTATATGGGGCATTGAGAGTGGTCGATGTCTTCTACAATACACTGGTCATGTTGGATCTGTTAATTCTATAAAATTTCACCAAAATCGTGATTTGGTTTTGACAGGTAGCGGCGATGGAACAGCTCACATATGGCAAGCCGCAGTTAACTGGGATGTATCTAAGTAAGTTAAAGGCTTTATGATGAAGGTAGTCTCAAATATAAGTTGTTTTTGAACGGTTCTAAAGCGTACGTTATACTATGTGTAGACAGTTTCCCTTTGTCTGAAATATATTGACAGATATCTCCCAGTTCTGTGTAATTATCTATGATACGGATAAACAAAAACTCGTTATTTAACAGTACAAGTACAAGTACAGTTTAATGAGTACAACCTATCCTATGAAGGTAGAGTTTTAAAAACCACTTATATTACTTAGGAATATTACCATCAAGTATCCGCATAGCGTGGTTATTTCCACGGCAATTCGAACTGCGTTTTAAAACGACACGATCAGATCAGATAATGTAACTGTTTAGGTATTTCGTGAGTATGAAAAGCTAACCGATGTACATTAGCTTGTAGGTATATTTCTGGATTTTGAGATGCAATGCTTTGATCTAATTTACATTGTTTTTAATTGTATTTATGAATTACCTTGTATTAATGCAAGAGGCAAGTTTAAGAGAGAATGATAAAAATTGCTGCAAGTAAACTCGACTTATGAAATCCGCTTCAAAGCAAAAAGAAAATTCATAAAATATCTACTACTATTTGTTGTCCAAATTTCGCTAAATGACATTTTCCATTTCTAAGGGGGTTTTACACAATAGAAGTTTTGTTTAATTTATTATTTCTAGAAAAGGTCATTCATCCGAAGAGGAACTTGATGACAGCGATGAACAAGTGGAAGATCGTGATCGCGTTGATACTTTACGTACACCACTTTGTGAATTTCAAGGACCTGGAGGTCACTTATCTGTAGTTGTAGCCGCGGATTGGCTAGTAAATATGGATCAAATTATTACAGGAAGCTGGGATCGTACTGCTATTTTATGGGATGTGGAGACTAGAGAGCCATTACAACCTTTGATGGGTCATGATCACGAGTTGACGCACGTGTCGGCTCATCCAACCCAAAGACTAGTTGTGACTGCGTCCCGAGACTCCACATTTCGCCTATGGGATTTCAGAGATCCGATTCCTGGCGTGTCAGTATTTCAAGGTCACACTGAGTACGTAAACGAAAAATTGTTTATTGATTGTGACAATTATCTTAAAATTTTCGCTAATTACAGAAGTGTGACATCTACAGTATTAACCAAAGACGACAAAGTGGTATCAGGGTCAGATGACCGCACTGTTAAAGTGTGGGAGTTGCGAAATATGCGTTCGGCTTTGGCTACAATACGTACGGACTCTTCTGTGAATAGACTAGCAGTATCTAATGGTGGTATTATAGCAATTCCCCATGACAACCGACAGATTCGCTTATTTGATTTAAATGGGCAGAGAGTTGCCCGTTTACCCCGAACAAGCCGCCAAGTAAGTACATTTTTTTGCACAATATATATATTAACGAGAATTATTTAGGGTCACCGGCGTATGGTTTCATCCGTGGCCTGGGCGGAAGAGCCTCTTTTAAACTGCGATTTGTTTTCATGCGGGTTTGATCGTCGTGTGTTTGGCTGGTCCATCATTTTACCAAAAGATAATTAAGTTATTCCAAAAAGAATCTTATAACTGACGTAAATATGTATTATTGTTTTTTGTTCATTAAAATTGATATAAAATAACATTTAAATATCTTTGTGTTTTGGTTTCGAAAGCAATATGAGTTCAATCTCTAGTGATAACATTTATGTCGGTAATATTGTTGGCAACCCATCTACCAAACATAAAATGGAGGGCATATGAAGTTTGTCAACACGTTTGTAACTCGCCGAAATAGCCATTTTAGACCTCACTATATATATATATATATATATATATATATATATATATATATATATATATATATATATATATATATATATATATATATATATTGATTGTACTACGTAACCATAGATAGAAAATTAATTGTTTGCACAGAAGTGCCTTTTAACGGGCAGGTGATGTTCGAGGCAATATCGGCCCCCCATTATCGAGTAGTCCTAATACATCACAATCACCCCTACTCTGTAAGTCGTCGCCAAAGGCGTCGTCGTCTCAAAGTCGTTGTCACTCTTTGACGTCGGCGTTGTCACATGAATGCAAAATTGGTACTTTGTAAGACGTCGCGGCCAGTGACGCCTGCGTATCGATAATTTACCACCAAAAAGTGTAATCCCTAACGAATAAAGAAAATTTTCTTCAATTTGTTTGGTAAAATGATTTATTTTCTTGATGAAAGTTCAAGTTCTAGTGATGAAGAACAGAAGAAAAGCCTTCGTATACAAAGAAAAATTATAAGGCAAAGGTCAGATATATTTAACCTACCACATATCAAGTAAGTTTTATAATTTTTATATTTTGGGTCATGATACATGCCATTCATAAAATATATAATTTATCTACAGGTTTCAAAACCATTTTTGCATCAATAAATTTCATTATACTCGCAACTGCCTCTTCCAACGGGGAAAGTTGCAGCTGCTTGTATCTGCCTCCACCTGTTGCATTGCATTCTGCCTTGTTGAAGGCTACTTTCTTTTTACATTTGAATTTTAGATCTCTCCAAACCTAAAACAAAACAAAGAAAGTTTAATTATTTGTGTACATATACTGTTATTCCTTACCTTCTGCCAACCATCACTGTCTCTTGCCGGAGGACCAAAAGCATTCAGTTTTGTTGTAATATCCTCCCAATTTTTTTTAAAATTGGATGGAAGAGAGCCTCTACTGAACCCTTTCGCAAGGCTTGGATTTTTCCCAAGTTCTTTTATTAAGCAATCAAATTGCGTTCCATTTGTAATTTTTAATTTTTTCTCCATTTTTTTTTCACCAACTTACAAATCAATAAAAACACAGTTGTTTGTATCAAGGCGTCACAAGGCGTGCAGAAAAACCGTAACGCCCAAAAGTAAGTCGAGTCGACTCAACATGGTTGTATAAACGCCTTAGCGAGTACCAAGTACTCGTCGTCTGCTGTCGACACAACTTCAGGGGTGCCAAAATTAACACGGCGACACAAGGCGTCGACGTTAGCTGTCGACGACGTCTTACAGAGTAGGGGTGAATATCATGTATTTTGACTATTTAAACCACATTTTCGCCCGAATTGGTATCTTTTTTGGTGGCACAACATTGTCTATATAGATCCATTTCTTGCGTATAGCGCTTATAGAATGGTACCTCCCTATATTTTAACGGATTTTTTAGATTCATAATGGACTTTCTTATGGTGGTGGATCATTGTCTTCATAATTCCACGTTTTCCCTTTGTTCCCATATAACGGTACATACTTTTACTCCGTATTTTATGATTTAAGCCATATTTTTTCAAAGGAGTTTGGCTAACCTCCAAAACGTTAATTTCTATAAAAAAAAATATCTATAATGTTTCAAAACGCAGCTTAACTCAATTTTATTGGAAACTCTCGGATTGCTTTGAAATTATTTCCAGAGGTACGAATTTGAACCCTGATTTCGGGAAAGTATTTTTTCATGTAGGACGGGCCGGGACATGAGGATATTTGAACTGAAACTTCGGGTCCAATACCCGGAACCAATAAAGCGACGTTGATCATACCAAAAGGTTTGGGAGTAATATCATTCTTGATTTTTTTGGACCTGCATTTTTTATAAAATCCTACGGGAGTTCACGAAATTTATGCCAAATTATAGTTGACATTATAACCTTTCCAAAATGCTACAAAATTAGTGACTATCTTACAAACAGAATCAAATATACAAAAACTTTATTTCACGTAGCCGGTATCGGCCAAACTAAAAGGAGAAAATCTTAACGCTACATAAAACAGTATCAAATTTAGAAAACTTTGGTTTGATTTACTTAGCAGAATCAGGCTGTTCAAAGAACCATATATCGGGGTCCAGGAAAAATTATATTGCCCATATCGGTATAGCTCCAAGGCGTTGAGTCGGAATTTCGGGTGGAATATTTGGGTATTTTCCCGGAAACAAAAATTTTACCATGCAAGAGTTGTTCTCAATACCACGCTATCCGAAATAAATGTAAAGTATTGAAGTTCGCAATGTCACTGACAAGCAGTGTTCAATGTATCATTGTCTGTATAATTCCTATCTAATTGAACATCTGCATTGTCTTGATAGGTCTTATTCGTATCTTAAAACATTTGAAGCTTCCACCAGATTTACCAGTTCTAAATTTAATATTTCTCATTTCGAAATAAACTTAATGACAACTAGTCCTATAAGTATCGCTATTTCCATAATTATAACTAATATTAAAATGATTTTATTATATAGAACTTCTCGTTGAAGTTTTCGTATGATTTTGCGTGATTGCGAGATATTGTCATCCGCGTTTTCCAGACGACGGGAAGAACGCAGTAGCGATTCACGTTGTTCTCCTAATTCCGAAAGAACCTAAACAATAAAGAGTGTCACTGGATCGATCAAAAATTTATTTTATTGTGTCACCCACATACCTCTGTCCCAATTTGTTCGGTTTCATACGCAATTTGATTAGATCGTTGTAAACTATCTCCAGTTCTTTGAATGACATCGTACGTATTTCTTATCAGTTGTTCCTGGTTGTTATACATTTTATACGCTATTATTGCCCGTCTGGTTGATATCGGTTTTTGTAGGTAAATTGCCTCAAGCCCTTCCTTGTTTTCCAGTAAAAATTGTAAGACATTCACTATTAATTGATAACATGCAATGACAAAGAAAACATAAAACATTTTAATAAGGGTTATCTAAATGCATATGCCCCTCTCCAGCGTACGAAAATAAACTACATAAAACGTTGACAATCGTTTCGTTCTGTATTTTCTCGAAGTACAAAACGAGACTTTTTTTATTTTCTACTGTTTGTGGAGGCGAGTGGAAAGAAAAACAAAACTGAAATGTAATCTGCTAGATGACGCAACATTGAAAACGGAACAGTACGAAACTAATTGCAAGCGATAGCCTGTGTATTAACTCATTTGAATAAAGTACAAATAAATATTAAAGTAGATAAGGGCAGAAATATGACTATCATTCAATTACAAAATATACATAGAATTCAACAAATGTATAGAAAAAATGGAAAATACGCTGGAAAATCCCAATTTATGGGTGTCAATCATAAACTGTTGGTCATAAATAAAGTAAATATTGATTGTGTATTTTCTACTTTTAAAATTCAATAAAAGATATGAATCTCATTCAATAACAGGATTATATGTATATATATATATATATATATATATATATATATATATATATATATATATATATATATATATATATATATATATATATATATATATATATATATATATATATATATATATATATATATATATATATATATATATATATATATATATATATATATATATATATATTCTCTTACTGAAGGTCTTCTAATATTCTGAAGGGTGAATGATTCAAGTCGGTTTCCAAATTTAAACTTACTTTGAATTGACTTTTTTCATAAACTGCAGGAGGCATTGAAAACTATATTAAATGGTAGAATCCATGGTACAATAAGCAGGTAGAATAGCTTCGTAAAACTACAAAAATACAGCCCTGAGGCTATGCCCGCTTCCTGTCAGACTCATTCAAAATTATTGTTTTCACTTTTTCATTTTTTCCTCATTTTTAAAATGATTTAAAAAGCGCGAAGAATGAATGAAATGACTGGATTTTTCTCTCAAAAATATGATCCTAACCATTCAATTTCATGGCTATATTGGTCAATAGCTTTAATGCGCGAGCCGCAATTTATGTGTCTTCCAATCATTGGTTGTGAAAATATTTTTGTTTTAATTTTTTAAAACAATAAATACATACACAAAATTGGCAGAAGTCGGGCACACTTAGAAAAAAATTGTAATCAGCTGTTAGCTCTACCTCACCTTTTATTGTACCATGGTTGAAACTTACTTTGAATTGACTTTTTTCATAAATTGCAGGAGGCATTGAAAACTTTATTACATGGGTTGACACATTTTTTTTAAAAATTAATTTAATTTTGAATTTTGAAATTCAATGTCGAAAGCTTTCTTTTATTGGTGTTACGTATAAGAGGATCCATTAATGGAATACCTTAGAGAAGCGAAGCAATTTAGCTTAGAAAATATCAATAACCAGAAAATCCGTGTCCGTAATTGGTTAACCTCTTCAATTCTTTGTATTAGTTCCATGAATGATCTGTTACGATGGATCTGTTACGACGATCATCAAATCTATTTTCAGCTTTATATATATATAAGTTAATAAAAAGACTTGTGTGCCTTTTGGTGAGTTAGAATGAACTAACTTCTTTATTCAAATCAAAAACTTATTCTACTTAAACTAAACAAATCAAAACTAAACACTACACTTCCCATGGTCACGCCACCAGACGTAACACGACTCCATGCTAAGCACACAACAGTCAACCAAGCAAAGCTCACAAAGGCAACATTGTTGCCTCTTAGTTTGGCAGGGATGTGCTAACTACCCCCTCACTTAAGTGAAGGCCGTCCTCGGTCTTCTTTATAGCCATTGCTACGGCAGATTGAAAATCTCGCTGTTCTCTCTTCTTCGCCCTACGCTTAACGAGGTACAATATGGAATAGAGTAATCCGATACTCATAAAAACAACACAACCAACTAATATTGGCCGCACTTTTGCATCTCTTTCAAGTTCGCCAATATATTGTAAGTTTTGCAAGTTCATCTCATGGACAGATGATAAACTTAAAATTTCGCTGTGGTTGTTTATAATAATTGAGGGAAATGATGGTGTTCCTGGTTTCCGCATATCAATGTTGTTTCTATTTACGAACAGCGTACCATTGACAGTCACATTTTTTTCAAAAGTTATTAGGAATGTGCCGTTTATGTTTCTTACATTTTCGGTTGCTTCTTTCACTTCTGCAATAGCGTCATTCACAATGACAATTCCATCATCGATTTCTGCCACTTTTTCAAGATTATTGCTTTGCGTATTACAGTGTGCTGATTTACCCGATATGAGTTGTTGAGCGCAGGTTGACTCTGGCATCAGTTGACAATAGGTTGAAGATATTGCGTGCTTGCAATCTGTTGCTGAATAAGTCTTTCCTTCACAGTCTACCACAGTGTTGGTGTCAGCGAATTGAATAATTTTATTGAAGTGGGGAACTGGGAATAAAGAAATTTTCTGACATGTTCGTATTGGAATGGGATATCTAATGATAAAATGCAAACAAAATTCATTTGATATTACTTTTACTTTAGACAAATACATTAGTTCTGATATGGTAAAATCTGTGTATTGCTCATTGATCTGATTTTTTATAAAAAATTTTAAATCATCCTGGTCCAAAACTGTGGGATTTATAATATTGATTTTAGCCAAAGTTACAGATAAAATTATATTTTGTAATTCCATAAGCAGCATTCTGTTTCTAGCCATTAAAATTTCAAAAAGTTTAACAGTATCAATTTGTTCCTTTCGTTCGGTATTTAAGATTGTGTTTACTGCATTGGTCAACTTTTCTATTTGGATCTGTATTTTCGTATTTATTTCTATTTGTCTGTTGTTGGAATCTACGAGTTGTTTCTCGACAAATTTGACATCCTCCCAGTCATCGGCATCTGGTGTACCGGCAATAACCTTCAGTGCTGTGCCTATAAGATTGATGCTTCTCGCATGCCGATGATGTACGGTGAGTGTTGTTAAAAGAGTATCAATATGCAATACATCGGCCTCCAATATCTTTTTAACATGCGTCTGAGGGAAGATCTGTATTGCGTTTTTTGTATCGTCTAATATCTCGGAATACGTTGTAAGGTTTGTCGTATGTCTTAAGTACCCATATTTGTTCCATATAATCGCGTTCCCGTCCAAAATTGGGATATAATCGGAATGCGAATAATCAATAATCTTTGCAAATGTGAGGTTTATCATAAGAAACAATTGTAGTGTTAGCCTGCGTAAAGAAAAAATAAAAGGTAGGAGAAGAAACATTTAGACATCTTATTGAAAGGATTATCTTAGGTTGTCCTTATGGACCACCCTCCCCTTTATTAGGACAGTTGTCCCCATGTCTGCTTCAACAGTAGCTTCTTCATAAAGTGGGGTCATTTTATTTCCAAGTCTACGATTATTCTTAACAAAGACTTTGTCTCCCACGTTATAAACTTTGTCATAACGACTTTTGTTGAAGTATTGTAACTGCCTGTTTTGCGCGTTACAGATTCGCTCTTTAATCTTTTCTCTTACTTCAGAAGGTGTAGAATGTATCGTATCAATAGGTCTCTCATTCGTGACAGAATGAATTGTCCGGTTATATTCTATGGTCGATTGTAAGATGAGTTCGACAGTGTCATCGATCTTCCTTTCTATTTTTAGGCATCTTGCGATTTCGGCAAGAGTGCTGTGAAATCTCTCTACCTGCCCGTTTGATGTGCTGTGTAGAGGAGGTGAATTGACAATTTCGACATTAAAACTGTTTTTCAGAATTGATCTGATAGTCTCGGAGTTGAAAGACCTCTCATTGTCACAATAGACAATTTTGGTGTTAGGAAAAATATTCATTAATTGGAGAATCGGTTCTCTTATGTCCAGAATTGTTCTGGTGGCTATTGGCTGTACCACTGCGAATTTTGAGAATTTATCCACGCAAGTTAAGAAATGTTTTTTATCAGTTGAATAAATGTCAATATGTAGAATTTCACCGGCATATGAAGGAACTATTGTCTCTCCTATAACATGTTTCTCTGGGTGTCGATTGTATTTAGCTTTTGAACAGGTTTTGCAGTTTGCAACAACCTCATTCGCTATTTTTACCATTTTGGGGAAATAGTATTCCGAAAGGATTTGTTTAACGTTCTCTTGAGCTGCCCGATGAGCTCTATTGTGTTCACTTACAACAATTTCTCTCTGATCGCATTGATTGAAGATGTCAGCGACAAATTTACTACAAAATCTGAACTTTGTTGAAGGAAACATTTTAATCAAATCATGTTGAATGTGAGCCAACACAGGTAGGTCGCAATGAATGGCATTTACTACTTCAGTATTGACTGCATCAACAAGTTTAGCCAGTATTTCGTTTTTATCCCCGAATTCTATGATATGTCTCGTTTTGTTTCCGAAAAGTATAAAATTTCGAGTGACGGGAAATTCTGCCTCTTCCAGAATGATTTGGTTGCGGAAACAATTGACCGGTTTGTCTGAGCTTTCCATAGTGTAGGTGTATGACTCCTCACTATGAACTGTTGCCATGTCTGACGAATTTTCGTTCTCTAATGCATAGACGACTTGCCTTGATAGCGCATCTGCAACTTGATTTTCTTTTCCTGGTTTATAATATAAGTTTGCATTATGTTCATCTATAAAGCTTTCCAGCGCTTAATTTGTGCATTAGGATTACGGTCCGAAACTGAATATGTTAACGGTTGGTGGTCAGTGAAGATGTTAAGAGTCTTCACACCATAAAGGTAATGCCTTAGAGTTTTTAGAGCCCAGACTATTCCTAGAAGTTCCCTTTCGTTTGTGGCGAGATTCAACTCCTTATCCGATAACGCTCTAGAAATCATAGTGATTGGTCTTCCCTCTTGGGATAGAACAGCACCTAGACCACGCCCTGATGCATCAGTAGTAAGGTCGAATGCTTTTTTATAGTCAGGGTACATCAACAAGACGTCTTCTGAACATAGAATATTTTTTAATTTGTAAAATGCATCCAGTTGGGAGGCATTAAGATTGATGATAACCTTTTTGGATTTGGTTGCAGGAATTTTTCCGTTTTCTCCTTTTAAATTATCGGTTAAAGGTTTTGCAATTTTGGCAAAGTCCCTTATAAAACATCG